TGATTTACAGCATCCGCAGTTCTTTCAGTTTTTTACAGTGTACCACAGGTCCGTAACACCAGGGATTAAACCCTATCAATCTACTTTCTAGCACATGGTAATCAAGATCTGGTACACCAGCAATAATCAGATAAATCTACACTATAACACAGTGGGATAAAGCTCAGGTACACCAGGAATAAACCCAATCAAGGTACACACTAACATGATGTAATACAGCTCTGCTACATCAGTTAAAACTCAGTTAATGTACACTTTAACACAGGGCAATGAAGGTCTCCGACACCAATGATAATTCAATCTGCACTCAAAATGACAATGTACCTGGTCTCGATAGATGTGAATTGAGATGAAGTGAGATAGATAGTAGGGTGTGGAATGCATTGCCTGGAAATGTAATGGAGGCAGGTTCAATTGAGATATTCAAGATAGCATTGGACAAACATTTGGATAGAAATAGTTTGCAAGGATATGGGGAAAATGGCACTGAGTCATGGTGCTCATTTGGACAGCCAGCGCATTTAGCAGATATAAGAGACCAAATGGCCTCCTTCTGCACCATAACGATTCTGCAACCATCTGAGAAAGTTGGAAATACGGGAGCTGGTTCAGTCATTTGAAGTAGTTACATCAGCTTTAACAGGATCACCTCTCATTCTTTTAATCTCCATTGAATGGGTCAAGGGAATCTCTGCATTGCCTCCTCCATAAAGAGGCCCAGATAGTCCACTGGCTGGAAAGCTGTTGGAACAGGATAGATTGGAGTTGTGCATTGCAACTGTGCAGAAACCTAATGTGGTGGATTCCATGGGAATTTCCTGAGATTCTGAAATTTCAAATGGACAAGTCTCCTGCATCTGGAAGCTTGAGAAAATGGCCCTTACAACATCGAAAACGTCTGAGGGTTTGGGTGAACCAATTAGACTCAATTAAGCTCAATAGTTACCCAGGAAAATTAGAGAATAAAAACCAACTCTCACTCTTGGGTAACTATTGAACAGACCCAGATCTCAATCCTAAACTTCCCCCTTCACAACTACATCTTACACTCCTATCAGTCATTCTCCATTTAAACACCACTTGTCCACCGCCTTCCAGCCTCCCAACCTGACTTGATTATACCTCGTCTATTCTCCATCTCTCATTTCTGCTTTGGCCTGTTGACATCCTAATCTGCAATCTCAGCATTAAACTGCAGTCTAGCAGAGCTCAATATTGAATAACACTAAAAGAGGATTATATGTGATTATATTTCAAAAAAAATTATGAAACTTTATGCATTCCTGCCGGCAGATTTAAGGGATCTAGACACCGCTTTCTCCTCTTTTCCAGCAAGAACATGTTTTTGTAACAACAAAGATACTTGTGATCTAAAAAGCAGTGGATTATGCATAGAAACAGTTCTAGCAAAGGGCTAGAGGTAATTTAACTCATACATCTGGACTGTAGTAATGATTGCAGCCTCTTTGTTTAAACAATCCAATTAGTCCCACTGCCCTTCTTTTCCATATAACGTGCATTTTTTTAAAAAGCAGAAAGCGCTGGATAAACTCAACAGAACTGGAAGCAAGTTAACATTTTGAATCCTCAGATCTCAGTTGTCATTTTGAATTGCACAGCATTGAGACAGAAGATTCCACCCAACTAGTGTTTATGCAGCAGGCAAGCATCCTCACAGTCCTCTCCATCTAACCTGGGGAGGCAATGGCCTGCTGGTATGATTGCTAGAATGTTAATCCAGAGACACAAGTAATGTTCTGGGGACACACCAAAGCAAATGATGGAATTTGAATTCAATAAGAATGTCCAGAATTAAGAATCTATTGATAACCGTGAAATCATTGTGAATTGTTGGAAAAACCCGACCGGCTCACTAAAGTCCTTCAGGGAAGGAAATCTGCCGTCCTTGCCTGATCGGGCATAGATGTGACTCCATACTCACAGCAATGGATTGACTCTCAACTGCACTCTGAACTGACCCAGCAAGTCACTCAGTTGTATCAATTGCTATGAAATCTCAACAAAGAAATTAAACCGTACAGACCACCTGGCATCGACCTAGGGACCAGAAAAGACAATGGCAGAAACAGTCCTTCAACCCTGCAAAGTCCTCCATACTAACATCCGGGGGCTAGTAGGAAAGCTGTCTCACAGAATAGTCAAGCAACAGCCTGATATAGCCATACTCATGGAATCATATCTTACACACAATGCCGCAGATACCACAATTACCATCCCTGGATATATCCTGTCCCAATGGTATATGTTTGGAAGGGAGTTGCCCTGGAGCCCTGAACATTGACTCTGGACACCATGAAATCTCATGGCTTCAGATTAAACAGAAGCCAGGAAACATCCTGCTGATTACCACATACCGCCCTCCCTCGGGTGATGAATCAGTACTGTTCCATGTTGAACAATACTTGGAGGAAGCACTGAGGGTGACAAGAATGCATAATGTACTCTGGGTGGGGGATTTCAATGTCCACCATCAGGAGGAGTTCAGCAACAGCACTATTGACCGAGCTGGTTGGATTCTAAAGGACATAGCCACTAGGCTTGGTCTGTGGCTGTTGGTGAGGGAACCAACAAGAGGAAAAAACATATTTGGTCTCATCCTTAATAATCTGCCACGTGCAGATGTATCTGCCCATGAGAGTGACTGCTGCACAGCTCTTGTGCAGATGAAGCCCACCTTCACATTGAGAAAACCTTCATTGTGTTGTGTGGCACTAGCACCATGCTAAATGGGACTTCGAACATATCCAGCAACTCAAGACTGGACATCCATGAGATGCTGTGTGCCATCAACAGCAGCAGAATTGTACTTACAGCACAATCTACAACCTCATGGTCTGGCATATCCCCCACTCAACTGTTGCCATCAAGCCAGGGTTTAACCCTGGCTCAATGGAGAATGCAGGATGGCATGCCTGGTGAAGCTGCCAAGGACCACTTGCTTGCCAAACAGCATATGCAGCAAATGATGGATAGAGCTAAGTGACCCCACAACTAACAGATCAGATCTAAGTTCTGCAGTCCTGCCACATTCAGTCATGAATGGTATGGACAATTGAACAACTCACTGCAGGAAAAGTCTTCACAAATATCCCCATCTCAAAGACGGAAGAATCCAACACATCAGTGCAAAAGAAAAGGCTGAAGCATTCTCAGCAATCTTCAGCCAGAGGTGCTGAGTGGAGATCTATCTTGGCATCCTTCAGTGGTCATCAGCATCACTGATGCCAGTCTTCAGCCAATTCAATTCACTCCATGTGATATCCAGAAACAGTTGGAAGCACTGGATATTGTAAAAGCTGTGGGCCCTGACAACATTCTGGCAATAGTAAAGAAGACTTGTGCTCTGGAACTTGCCGCTCCCTAGCCAAGTTGTTCCAATGCAGCTACATGACAGGCATTTACTTGACTGTGGAAAATTGCCCAGGTATGTCCTATACACAAAAAGCAAGACAAATCTAACCTGGCCAAATACTGCTTCATTAGTCTACTCTCGATCATCAGTAAGTGATGGAAGGTATCATAAACAGTGCTATAAAGCTGCACTTGCTCAGCAATAACCTGCTTGCTGCCGTCCAGTTTGGGTTCCGCCAAGGCCACTCAGCTCTTGACCTCATTACAGCCTTGTAATGCCTTGCAATGTCATGTACAACCTCCTCAAACATGGACAAAAGAACCCAATTCCAGAGATGAGTTGACAGTGACAGCTCTTGACATAAAGGCTGTATTTGACCAAGAGTGGCATCAAGGAGCCCTCGTAAAACTGGAATCAGTGGAAATCAGGGAGCAAACTTTCTGGTGGTTGGAATCATGCCTGGCACATAGGAAGATGCTTGTGGTTGTTGGGGGTCAGTAGTCTCAGTTCCAGGACAACTCTGCGGGAGTTCTCCAGGCTATGTTCACATTCATTTCAAGAGGGCTAGAATACAAGAGCAGAGGTGCACTGTTGAAGCTGTTTAAGCTCCGGGTAGACTGCATCTGGAATGTACTGAGTATTTTTGATCCCATTTCTAGGGAAGGATGTGTTGGTCTTGGAGGGGGTCCAGTGGAGGTTTACAAGAATGATGCCAGAAATGAAGGGCTTGTCAGATGATGAGTGGTTGAGGACTCAGAATCTGTATTCAATGGAATTTAGAAAGATAAGGGGGGATCTGTTGAAATTAGAACACCAAGAGGCTTGGATAAAGTGGATGTGAGGAAGATGTTTCCACAAGTAGGACAGTCTAGGACCCGAGGGCATAGCCTCAGAGTGAAGGGATAACCCTTTAGAACTGAGATGAGGGGGAATTTCTTCAGCTAGAAGGTGGTTATTCTGTGGAGCAGAGGGCTGTGGAGGCTAAGTCGTTAAATGTAATTAAGACAGAGAGAGGTTCGTGATGGGTAAGGGGATCAAGGTTTTGGGGAGAAGGCAGGGGAATGGCGTTAAGAAACTTTTCAGCTATGATCGAATGATGGAGCAGACTTGAAGGGCTGAATGGTCTAATTCTGTTCATAAATGTTATGGTCTTAAGGTAGTGTCCTAGCCCTGACCATCTTCAATTGCTTCAGCAATGACCTTTCCTTCATCATAAGATCTGAAGTGGAGATGTTCATTGATGGTTGCACAATGTTCAGCACCATGGAGTACAGAAAACTTTAATTAACTCCTGATGGAAGAGCAAAAGAGTGTAAATTGCCTTTAATGTTCCAGAGGCAGAAGCTCTGTCTGGAGGGGAAGCAGGAATGAATTTGATATAACTCACCCAGAGAGAAACTGATGGACTTGGATCAACAAGGATTTACCAAATTGTACTTTAGTTAGATTCAATTCCCAACCATCAGTCACCTTTCTCCTTCAGTAGTTTTAAATGAGTAGTAATTGGTATGTGGTGCCCCAGCTTCTTATGCAAGTCAATTGGGCACAAACTACCCACCCTCCTGATTTTAGTGCATTCACCCAGAGCTATCTCACTTTCTTTAATTGTATTTTGTTTGATTCCCAGGTCTGTATTGTACAGAAGAAAGACTCAAAGAAGATGTATGCCATGAAATACATGAACAAGCAACAGTGTGTGGAGCGTAATGAAGTGCGAAATGTATTTAAAGAGTTGCAAGTTATGCAGGGTCTGGAACATCCATTTCTTGTCAATTTATGGTAAATTACTGCTATTTTTTAGGTACAATTAATTGTCTTCTGCTGAATTTCATATTAGTTGATGGGTTGGTAAGAATCCTGAGTTTTGAGTTACTGACTAATGCTTTGGTACAGTCTACAAAGCCAGTCTTTACACACCTTGCTTCTATAAATACTATCAACTTAGTCTGCATTCCATATATCCTGTCTACCTATTTGAATTCTAAATATCATATTTACTTGTCTATTCTCTATATCTTATTGACTGATCTTTATTTTATTATTTTTGTTTACTGTTCTATTCTGTATGTCATATTTACCTATCCCTATGTTATAGATAGGGAGGTGTTGTGGCAAAGTTTTAGCCTCCCTCTCTCTGGACGAGAAGTTCCAATTTCAAGACCCAGACCAGGACTTATTCAGTATGGAAAATGTATTTGTAACATGGTCAAACATGTTCTTTATCAGTCCTGAAAGCTTTCTTAATGCCTGATGGCAGGCAGTAAGTACAGGAGAAACTCTTGGTCAGCCATCCTTTAGAAGGCAATGGAAAATCACTGCAGTAGTTTGCCCAGTCCAATGGTCCATGGTCCAACCCACAAATGAGAACAGATATGTTGTAGATACAGTTTTCTTATTTCTTAACTGTAAATTAAATAGCATGCATGAAGTCCAAATTCTGAAACATGTTCTTTGAGCATTCAGACACTGGCAAATAAACACCAATGCAATATCAAACTAAATAGCACAAAAAAGCAAATTAAAGATGAAAAACATAAAGAGAAAAACATGTAATTGTATATTTTAGTGTGTGCATATAGCAAGAGAAATAGATGGAAAGTAATGTGATGCAAGGCTTCAGTTGATGGGAGAGGTTCTGACGCAGCACAAGTTGATTTTCCAAACTCGGTTAGATGCCAGTTATAATACATTATTTTACTCCATGTGAAAGTTTATTGGCTTGTCATTTGATGCATAATTCTGATGTTAAAAATTCCAAATTGTGTTTAGGCAAGAAAGTGTGGTATCGGTTCCAGAAGGGGGTTTCACATCATTTTGACTTCACTTTAGGCTCCATTTAGGAACCTTCTAAGCTCCATGTTTGATGTTAGCAGATACTTAATGGGACAGTTGGCAAAATGATAATAAAATTCTTGTGGTATTTGTATCCACATAAGCAGAAATTTTAGTGTTATCCTCTTTGGTAAGCTATATAGAATCAGATTTACTCACTTTGAATAGCTCTCAGCTGATATTGGCCTTAATTTTGTATGAGGTACCACATTAGAATGAAATAATTTGGAAATTCTGTATTTAGCTGCAAATTACCCCATGGTGATTCTCGATCCTCTCTGCAATCAGACGTAATTTTGTCCTGCACCCTTTACTCTTCTGATTAATACTTATTTATCATTATTTCCCCATCTGATGTCTCTCATCTCCCTTCCAAAGTTCTTTCTCCTCCCTCCCAAGGCTGTCACCTTCCTCTTCCTCTCTCCCAAGTCCATTTCCTTTTCATGTAACTCCTTCTTGGGATGTCTTCATCTCTAGCTACCTGCTTCATAGGAACTCTCAATCTCCCTCTGTCTCGCTCCAAAGACAGCTATGGCTACAATGTTGGATACTAAATTGGCAGAGTGATACGAAACAGAGAGTAATGATCAATGGATATTTTTTAGGCTGAGGAAGATTTGTAGTGGAGTTATCCAGAGGTCAGTATTGGGACCATTGCTTTTCCTGATACATATTAATGAGCTGGATCTTGGTGTGCCAGATAGCAAACCCGTCTGCAAATGACACAAAACTTGGAAGAATTGTAAGCTGTGAGGAATACAGTGTAGCTGCACTGAGGATTACACCAAGCACGGTAACGAAACATCTTCGGGACAACAAACCAACTCGGCAAGCCACCCAACCTCAAAATACAGTGTGGTACTCAAAGGACATTGACAAGTTGGTACAGTGGATAAATGCGTAGCAGATGAAGTTCAATGCTGAGAAATGTAAAGTAATATGCTTTGGGAAGAACAATGGAAAACAATATAAAATAGGGAGTAAAATTTTAATGAGGTTGCAGGAGCAGAGAGCCAGATCTGTGCACAGATCATTGAAGGAAGCTGAACAAGTGGAAAGAGCAGTTAATAAAGCATACAGTAGCCTTGGCTTTATTAATAGGTACATAGAGTACAAGTACAAGGAGGTGATGTTTAACTTGTGCAAGTCACTGGTTAGACCTCAGCTGAAGTAATTGTACATAGTCATGGGCACCACATTATAGGAAAGATTTGAATGCATTGGAGAGAGTGCAGAAGTGGTTTACAAGAATCATTTCAGGAATGACGAACTTCATTTATGAGGGTTGATTGAAGAAGTTGGGACTGTTCTACTCTGAGAGAAGAAAGCTGAGAGAAGATTTCATAGATCTGTGGAATCATTAGTTCTAAATCAAGTAATAATGAGTTCCAGTGGTTTCCTTTGTTTAGAACAGGCTGGGATAACCATCTTGTCTGCTAGACTTTTGTGTTGGCTTGACAGAATGTTCATACAATGCAAAGAATGTTGCATTCCAGGAGGATGATATAGGCTGGAAATTACTGGAAGCAGTCAACTTGTTCCATTCTGTGTTTGATAGTAGCCATTTCAAAATTCCAACAAGAATCTATTTTAAGAAAATTTAAGGAAGAGAATATAATTTTTACAGAACAATTTAAGACCTCTCTTCCTATCCTCTGGGCATTACATTAATTGGAGTAAGTATGCTTTATCAGCCTAAAAACTTCATTATTTTACTGACTTCAATATATACAGCTCAACGAGGTTGTTGAAACCCATATTAAGGAATACTTTTCTGAGAATCAAGGATATGCTGAGGTACACAGATATATTGGCACACTATGATCTGTCCTTTCTAACCATCATAGCAATCAACACTTCAGCTTCAGGCTTAGGAACAGTACTTTTCCAGGAGCAACCAGAGAGGTGTTGCAATTTAGTCCCTTATATACCAAGAGAATTATCAGACATAGACATTATATGCTGGACTGAGAACTGCCTCTTTTGGTTACGTGAGCTTGAGATTTTTAGACTACATCTTCAGTCTGAAATTGATGGTAGAAATAGATGAAAAAAGCTTTACGTTCTCTACTGGATACAAAGAAATGACAAGGATGCCGACAAAAATACAAAGATTTTGACATTAACTAATAAGGTTTGCCTATGAAACACTATGTCAACAGTCGTAAGGTTTGCTTATGAAACATAACATGTACAGAGAAGTTGCAGACAATGGCAGATGCCCATTCCAGAACAACAGTGGATAGCTTAAGGCATTATGTTAAGTTTATGTATGAACCAAAGGCCAGCAACCCACGTGCAGCTCAGTTACGGGGCAAGAGATGTCTCAACACTATTGATAGTGTTGAAGGTAAGCTAGATCAAAAATCCCAGTGGGTTGACTGTGGAAATCTATTTTGATTACCAACAACATTTTACAATTATGGATGACGTACTAGAGTATGCCAAACATCTTCCAGCTTCACTTTGGCATGATGTCCCAGGAAGTAACACCAGGACACTGGAGATCACCAAGTGCAAAGCCAGAGCTTGGTCAGTTGTGTGATGCCTAAAATCATCAAGGACATTGAGGATCTTGTCACCAACTGTAAGACTTGTGCCATCCGAAGACCAGACCCATGATAGCTGTTGATGCCCAACATATTCCCCACCAGATCATGGAAAGGTACGGGCACAGATCTATTTGTTTTTGATGATCTTACCTCAATTATTTCTCCCAATACTATGATGCAGTTATCTGAGTTCTGCCTGACATATTTGCAACACATGGTATCCCTGATGTAATCATTTTGGATAGCAGGCCACAGTTTGCTAATGAATGCGTCAGCTAATATGCAACCAGCTTTGGATTTGAACACACACCAGTTCACCAAGGTACCCAAAGTTGATTGGGGAAGCTGAGCATGGGATCAGGACAGTTAAGTCACTCTTGAAGAATATCGACTTCTATGCAGCACTGCTAAATGATGGATCAATCTGACTTCTGATTACAGGAAGCTGAACACTTAGCTCCCAAACATACAAAGGAAGCTGACTCAACGTTTACACTTAAAGGAATATTAAAATGTAAACAATAAGAAGTAGTTGTATAATGAACAAGAGGCCATACACTATAATTATAGGTACTGATATGCATGATGGTTGTCATGATGGTACAAGTGTGGACTAGGCTTCTGAACAGAAAAGGTGATGTTACCCAAGGAGCTGCAGACCAACTGAAATTATATACTGCTCACACTGCTGAAAAGGTCATACAAAGGAACTACAGGAATCTTATCCCATTGCAGGTTATTCATCGATCAATGATTGATTGCAGATGTCAAAGTGTCAAGAAGAGAACCAAAGAAAGTGGTCATTTAACCAGCAAACCACCAGTCTTCCAAGTATGAAGAGAATCAGTTCTGGAACAATAGTGAAACATTCACATCACCTGAATTTGTAAAGTCTGTGACTTGGATGAATATTGCGTTAAAGTAAATGTAGTTATGTTCACAAAGTCTAATATTAATAGTGGATTAGATGTATAACAGTCTGAAAAGGGTCCCTTAGGCACATCCAGCTGTGATGATATGGACTTGTGAGCTGGTCAGCTTAGAACATCGAAGCAGGGAGACCTAACATCTGGTCCTCAAATTCTCTAAAAATATTTGTCATCTCAGTGCAATACCACGCAATAAACTTTATCTTGTTACCTATAAGAAACCCTTCTAGTTGGTCCAGGAAGTGGTTTTCTCTCTATCCCACTAAACTAAGCAAGTGCTTTCATTTCCTATCCTTAGAGGATGGTGACAGTAACATTCATCGTGTGCATCAGCTCATACAAGATAGTGAGCTGACATGACTATATGACAGCAAGCATACGGAGTAGTTGAGGCAAAAGGCATTGATGCATTTAAAGAGGATCTAGACAGAGAGAAATGTATAGAGAATGTTATGGTAGGGTTGAG